ACAGAGACACAAAGACACAAACTGTTACAGAGACACCAGGACAAAAACTGTTCAGGAGACACCAGGACAAAAACTGTTCAGGAGACACCATGACACTAACTGTTCAGGAGACGTCAGAACACAAACTGTTTAGGAGACAACAGGACACAAACTGTTGAAGAGACACCATGACACAAACAGTTTAGGAGACATCAGCACACAAACTGTTAAGGAGACATCAGGAAACAAACAGTTCAGGAGACATCAGGTCACAAACTTTTAAGGAGACACCAGGACACAAACTGTTGAGGAGACACCAGGACACAAACAGTTTAGGAGACATCAGGTCACAAACTGTTGAGGAGACACCAGGACAAAAACTGTTCAGGAGACGTCAGAACACAAACTGTTTAGGAGACACCAGGACACAAACTGTTGAGGAGACACCAGGACACAAACTGTTGAGGAGACACCAGGACACAAACTGTTGAGGAGACACCAGGACACAAACTGTTAAAGAGACACCAGGACACAAACAGTTTAGGAGACATCAGCACACAAACTGTTTAGGATACATCAGAACACAAACAGTTTAACCTTAACCGCCATTTTGCTTGATTAATGTCCAAAAGTGGAGCCAAGATATAAAAAATAAGTACAGGCAAAACAGTTGGTAATGCCAGTCTATCATTACACCACAGCTAACATAACACTATAATGCCAATTCTGGTGCTCAAGTCCCTGAAATCTCTGCCTGGTGATGAGGATATAAAATAATTAGGTATAGAGACACCATATAAGTGGGATTTGGGGAGTCCTACCTATCAATGTACAGCTATCGATCTTAAGTCCTCCAGTTTGTCTGTCTGTGTGTCTCCATCTCTGTGTCAGCACTATTGTCTTACACGATCATTATGGGCATGGTGACCAAATCTATCATTTTAAATATCAGCTTTGGGATAGCAGTATATCCTTCAGCTCAGACAACAGATGGAAATGTCAGGCATGTGGCTTGGCATTCCCTTTTGTTCTATTGTCTGGAGTGGAAAATGGGTACTGGCAAAACCCAGCCAAGATCTATCTAGGAATGGTGTTTGACTGCAATGATCAAGGCCAACAACCACCTGCTTGACATCAATATGTACCCATTCAATGTTCAGGTTGTACAATACAACTTTTTTTAACTGGAGCTTGGGAATGAGGTAGGGTGGGTTATCAATGAAATATTCGACTGCTTTCAGTTATCATTCATTGGTAATATGAATGCCAACTCAATAAGGCCAAATTTCATGAAGCAACTTGTGTTAAGCACTTCCTGTTGAGTTTGCTTTAATCTGGCTAGCATTCATCAAGGCTATGAATGCCAACTTAAGGCAGCATGTCCAATGCTTCTATTTATCATTTTCATCTTGTAATCTGAAAGAGAACCTCAAATTGTTTACATTATTTGCTATATCCAGTATGCAATCCAAACAAGCAATGTCACATGATCAAATGATAACAAGACCATACTATAGAGTCACCAGGCATACTCACAAGTATCAAACATGTCTAATATCATATCGCACAAGGAAACAGAGTATTTTTCAATGAGATTATAATGACAACCATCAAATTTCCCATAACTTAGCACAGCAACTTGGACTACATATGTTTGTTGCTGTACAACTGACATGTTACACAGCTAAGAAAATTTACATAACATTCTCATTTAAATGATAAACTGCTGAGATAAATTAAGTGATATATGTTGGCAAAAAAATGCCAAGAACAAAAATAAATTATCCCTGATCTCTACATCTACTCTTGTGTGATATTGGCTGTGCTGTTTAAGTATACAGGTGCTCTCTTAGGGGGGATCTGATCCAGAACCTGTCACGATGTTATCACCAAGGTATCTTGTTTTGAATATACACTATATTATTTGATGATATAGTTTGTTCATGATAAATGCCATCTGTTCTAACCTGCTGGCACACGTTGATCAATTGAGGTAATGATTACCATATGTGGGAATCATCTGTATATTGGTGTAAACTAACTTAACACTCTATAGACAATTACCTGGAGTGAGAAAGGCAGGATTATAGGGTCAACGCCGCTAAAATATCCTTCCTGTTTTAGTGCAAAGCAAGGAAATTGTCATATAACTCAAGTTGCATGTTACACGGCCATTTTTGCCAGCAAGTGGGACCACTGGCTGCATTAGGAATAATTTTCAAGACAGTTTCCAATTGAATGGGGAAGCAATGCTTCACAGCATCAGGAAACATTCTGCAGACCAGACTATAGAGATGGCATTCTCAGAACATCACAAATATGGCTAACCAGCCCTGACAGGCTCCAATTAGATTTTAAAGTCTGCCCTGACAGTATAATTCTTTAATTTTCTCAACTGATGAGCTGTGCCATGGAACTGCTGCCTAAAACACTTCAATTCACATTGTGTACAACACTTACAAACAACAGGCTACTCCAACACATATGCAAAATAATTCTAGACATATTCCACTTTAAGTCATTCCAGATGTTGGTTTTATTATTATTTTGGTTTTCATATATGCCTTGCAGAGTCTATAGGCAGTTATAAGGAACATGTGTATGGTAAAGTAAGATATCACACTCCGAGTTCTGAGAACTTAATGATGCTAGGCAGCATGTGGTATTGTCTCACTGCCTCATCAGCTGACACTGGATTTAACCCCAAACCCAAGACAGGTAGTAATGTTAGGATGTTTTACCATTAAACCAACATATACTTTAATAAAGAAATATTTATCATGCACTTTCTCCTGTTACAAAAATTGTGATAAACAACAATATCTATGTGCTTTTGGTTACTTAGAGATGCTGAGATGAATCCAGAATCAAACTTTTCAATAATTGATAAGGGTAAATGTTTGCGATAAAATAAATCTCCATATATTGTAGATAATAACACATACACAAAATCAAATATATTTTACTAGAAACTTGAAACAGTTCACTTAATGAATTTGTTGTAGTAGATCTAGATATTGCTGTGTGGCTCAGATATGCTATCAATGAAGAGGAATTCCAATTACTTACACATTTTTTTCTGATTTGGAGAAATGCTTTCTGATGTACTTTTGTAAAGAGTTATTTGAATACACAGTAGATATATATATCACATCCCACATGCACTATTTCGCACAAAAAATATCTACACCACAAGGATATGATCTCCGAACCTGAGTGTAATTATATATAAACCAGAGGAGTGTATCTGTTGCATAATGGTTTTTCAGTCCTGATAACAAAATGGTAACAAGGCATATCTGTCTGTTTCAGGATTGGAATAAAATCTGCAATATCAATTTTTTATTTCCCTAAAGGTGCCAAAATTTAGCACACCTTCATGCTTCATGATCTTGCATAAAGGTTCACAGACAAAAAGAACCAATCATTAAAGTTGATGGCAGGATAGTTTTTAACTCCATGTAGAGGTTTAAAGATTGTGCAAGAATTAACTTAATGGCAGAGAGATGGACGTCGGGAACAATTCAGGGATGATTAAAAATATCTAGCTGACTTCGATTTCATTAAAACTGTTCTTTAAGGAAAAAAATGCATATTTTACAATTTTGAATTAATTAGATTTTACAATGTGTCATCATCCGGGGAAAATATTACGGTATCTTAAATCTTAAAATGACTGATAAAATGGATGTGATGGAGGAATTAGATAAAATTTACTTGTGGTGAGGTATATTCTTTCTGCAGATATTTGCGTATAACACTAGACTGTGACACACTTTTTCCAAACTGTTCATTTGACAATACTAATCGAAGCAGAAACTCCGAAACCAGGGAAATGTATTATCCTATAGCCCCGGATACAATAATCAATATAACAGATCTAGAGACAGGGAGAGTGTTCACCAACTCTAACATATACAGTCTATAGAATGGAACATGTCCCTCAGCGATCAGAATTCATCAAAAACATTCTGTATACATCTGTAAGCTGTTTTGTTTCAATAAAAAAATGATACAATTATCTATAATAAACATCTGCCAATCTTTTTTCGCAATTTCATTAAAGTTCAATGATTCACAAATAAGAAATTGATTGCAGGGTACAATGGAAAGAAAGGAAACAAATAGCATATAATAGCATTTCACTGTTTTTTAATTATTTGTTTATCATCATAAATAAACAAAAAAATCTTTATTGAGCTGAAATTGGAATTCATCTTAAAGAAAGAAATTGCTGTTGGCAAAATGCCAGACTACTGTTGATATCAGAGAAAACTGAAAGTAAGTAAAGGGAACAAACATTTTCATGACAGTTAACGAATCAGTAACACCTGACGTATACTGCACCATCATTAATTTTCGTGGGGGATCTATTTTCATTGATTTCATGAGCCCTCTAATTCTGCGAATCTATAGGTCCACAAGCTATTAAAATAAGTACAGGTAGAATAATTGAGCTATATTTTTCCAAACAATCAAGTGTTAACGTTTTGGAAAAAAAAATGAAAATTGGACCCCACAAAAATATTTAATTCTACAGTACAGTGCAAGAGATTTTGAATATTACCAAAACGAAGGAATCAGATGAATGAATGTATCGGTTTAAATAAAAATGCTAATTAGAGTTTAGTTTAAGGTATGAAATACAGGTAATAGGTTTTCCAATTCCATTCAACAGATTTTTTTTGATGAAAATTTTAAATAAAGAATCAAAAAATCATTAAAAACACAACAAAAATTGAAAATTCAATGAAAGTCAAATCTGAATCTGAAACATTGAAATAAAATTAAAAACTACCTGTATGCTAATATACATACAGATATCATGTCTTCTTGTTGTTTTTGATATTCCGATATTGAGATAGAAATCAAGATAATCATCAAATTTCTTGTTCTGCAAATAGCAATAATCAAACTTGGTTGAACTGCAAAAACGTCTTTCTTTACAAAAAGAAATCATGATCAGCCTTTTGAAATATATAAAACTCATGTCATGAAGCTCAACTTGTTTTTTGTTTCAGGTGTAACTCTGCCCTGTTGTGAGAAATGTTGGACAAATATGCAAGCATATGGAGCTGGACAGATGACCAAAGCCTTATAACAATGGATCTAACCACCGATGTAAAAACTGACCATCCCTAGGTCTTTGTGATGACCACTGGACAAATCTTCAGGTGTTAAGTGGACCTATGGTCAGTTAGTTTTAGTGCACATTATGTTACTCTAGGACCACTACATACAAGCAATTCAAGGTCAACATCTCTGGACAGTCCGAAGTTAATATCTCTAACAGGATAGTCTAACGTCAACAGTTCTGAAAGAGTTCAAAGTCAATCACTTTTTCTTCCTTAATAAAATTCTAAAGCTACAAGTGAACAATTCAAGGTCAACAGATCAAACAAGGTCGAAATCTCTCATAGAATAGTTCAAGGTCAACATCTGTGATTGAACATCTAGGAAATTACTAGTAAATATTTCAAGGTTGTGCCAATAGTGATAGAGTGCTAATGACATACTGAAGTGTTAGACATAAGCTAGCAAGCCTTCCTGTAGTTCCTGGAGTAACCTATTTCATGTCCTATTCTGACCCTCTTGGCCCTGGATATTAAGTCAATAGTGAAGAATTACCATAGACAAGGCCACCACAGAATTACTGAATTTCGTGAATGGATATTGTACAGGGTGTTTGATAGACAGTAAGACGTTGAAACACACGCTAAAGGCCACAATCTGTAGAAAGAGGTTAATAGGACCACTTGCTCGTCAGCGTTAACACCCTAATGCAAGGCCGTTGACGCCAAGTGCTTCCGACACTCTTACGGCAGAGTCTGGCATTACCATAGTGTGACAACACGATCAGCCAAAGCTCGTGCGTTCGACCATCATACAGCAGAGGTGCCACATCTCACAAGCAGCACAAGGCTAATGGTGTGACATTCTGGAGCCCGCAATCGAACGCGCCAATCTTGATATATATAGATATATACTAGACAAGCACTGTCTAAGATATATACCAGAACATTTAGATCCTGGTGGGTTGGAAGAAACAATGAAGTAAACTCGATCTCGCTGGTTGTAGAGCCTGTAGTAATCAATACGAGAAACGATCAGATCCGACTCAATTCATATTCATTACCACACGATGTAGTAATGAACTTCCCACCTGTTTTTCATGACTTCTGTACCAATGAAATTACATGGAAATTAGACTGATATTAATTCAATACTTTCAAGGCAATGTTGCTTCTTATCGAAGAAAGAGAAACTTATTTTTGAAAACTTAACATGCAAGACACGAGGAGGAAATAGAACAGAAGACCAAGTTATGTCAAGCACAGATGTTTGATATAAACTACATCTTGATATGTAATTAGATCTAGTTCTGAAAATGTGGCGTAAACACCAACCATGCAGCTTGTGTAATATAAAGATCTGGCTGTATGTCATAATGACAGCATTACCGCTGTGTTATCCTGACAAAGGACCGGACATGGACTGGACACCACCATTCTGTCCCAAACTGTGTACCTGTAGGATGAGTCGCTATGAACCACCGACACAGGGAAAACTTATGAGGACAATCAATTGCTCCGAGGCAGGTATAGGATCAGTCCCAAAGAATCTTTCCAGTCGGGTGGAGGTAGTTATGCTCAACGGTAATAGAATCAAATATCTGAAAATAAGAGACGTTTTGAACTATCTGAAACACTTTGATGTGTCCTCAAACAGAATATCCAAGATAGATAACAGACTACAAAAGCTAACTCACTTAAAATCCCTCAATCTTCAGAACAACAGTTTGTCTTACTTACCAAATGGTCAGTTCAGCGGTCTCAAGTTCCTGGCCTATCTTGACCTATCAAACAACGTTTTACATTCCATAGAGAAGCACACATTTGGAGGCCTCAACTATCTCCAACGGCTCAATCTGGAGGGCAACAAACTGTCATTCCTAGAACGCGAATGGTTTCTCAGTATGCCATCACTCCGTTGGCTGTATCTTTCGAGGAACCTCCTGCGTAATATAGAACCAAATATGTTTGAGACTCTGTGGAACCTAGCCGAGCTCCGACTTGATCATAACAATATATTCAATGTAGGGGCAGATGCATTCCATGGAATGGCAGAGTTGTCAACATTAGACCTGTCCTTCAACAAGTTGACGAGAGTTCCTGAGAATAAAGTTTTAACAATAAATAGTCTGCAGTGTCTGTATCTGGACGGAAACCCAATTTACAGGATTAGTCGAGGAGCCTTTAAGGGTCTGAATGTCTCTCTAATCAGGGCCCGGTATATGCCAAATTTAAATGTTATTGAAAAACAAGCCTTTAAAAATCTTCCCCAGCTTCAGATTTTGGAGCTTCATGATAATCCATTGCTCATCTATATCGATTCTGATGCTTTTAGTAATGTTCCACGTCTGAAGAGTCTATACCTACATAATAACCGACTGTTGGCCGTGCCTCGCACCATCAGAACTGGGCTACCTTCATTGGAAAAAATTCATATATATAACAACAATCTGCGATGTGATTGTAATGCGTATTGGATTCGACAGGAGTTGTTGAAGGAGGAACAACAATCAAACTTTACGTCAGTAATGTATGATGAATCTGTCTTAAGCTGCGATTCTCCACCAAATTTATCAGGTCGGCTTTTAAAAATGCTTCCAAAGAAAGCGATTAACAAGACCTGTGCACCTAGTGCTCTCCCTTTGTTTGGGACCAGCTATAATATTAGTGTTGGGGAAGAGCTGAGATTAGAGTGCCATGCCCTTGGTGTTCCTGATCCTCAAATAAAGTGGCGACTCCCCAATGGGACAATGTTGTCAGGGTCAGTGAGGTCAGGGCGAGTACAGGTGTTAGGGAATTGTACGCTCATTGTGCGACACCTAAGGCCATCGGACAGTGGTACCTACTTATGTAAGGCAATGAACCAGAATGGGTTTGATATCAGCTCAACGTCAGTCAAGGTCAACAACAAACCAATCCGAATCATTCCCTCCAGCATCGCTGGAGACTATGTCACGATCATGTGGAATGGGACCACCTACCGGTCAATGATATCCGACTACCAAATACAATACCGAGTTCCCACATCTACCATACAATACAGTACCATACACTTGAGTCAGTTTGCCACCCGTTATACATTCACCAATCTAAAGCCCCTGACAACCTATGAATTCTGCATCGTTTATGTATATGACACAGAACAATATACAGTAGACTGTGTCAATGTGACCACAACACAACCTGGGGAGTTACCTGTAGGAATCACCAGGATAGACAAACGTATTATCATTGGCTCATGTGCTGCCATCTTGCTGGCAATTGCACTGGGTTGTGTTATAGCTGTGGCGCGACGCTTTCGAAGGCACAAGGAGTACCTGGAACCCTCTATTCATGAGAAAAGTGAAACTATGGCACATATTCCACTGGACAATTTTTACAATCCCCCTACCACACCCTTGTGTTCTTCACGAACTTCCCTTATCAGTGCTCAAGACTGAAGCTTTCAAATTATACCATGAAATCTAATGCACCCTAAACTAAAGGGAGGTAACACATTCCTAACTTTTGATGCCAAAAAAAATCTGGTAAACTGTTCAAAAATGTGTGAGTCTTTTTTTTCTGCTATTTGAATAGAAAATTTTATTTCAATTAAAAGGATACACATTTGCTAAAAGATGTCAAGATTGAATACAGAATACGGTAAATGTACATATTTTAACGATAATCTTAGTTTCGTGCTTTATGAGCTTAAGATATTCTGCTAAATTATTGTTACATTAATTCTAGTTTCTTTTTGTAGTTATTACAGCAATTACTGAGAATGTGCAAATTCTTTATTATTGTTTTCTAAATTGATATTGCACTAAAACTCGAATCAACCAAAATATATATGTTCACAGTAGTTTAATGGTATGTGCATTATACAGTATAAAGGTATAAATATTGATACATGATTTAGATTTACATCAAGGAGATATGTAATCACAGTTATCTAATCTACTGGCATTTCCATGTAGAAATGAAGGTATATGGATGTGACACAAATGTTGTGGTTCCCACAGTTTGGGAACTCTTCAATCAACATGCTGGTTACTATGACAACAAGACAAAGACAAGTTGGTGTGCACTGGCATGTGATAGATGTCTTCTATTTATTACTGAAGACAGTGTGATAGTAATGTCTCATAAACGTTCATTCTCTGCTAGCAAAATGCTGTTCTTCTCTGTTAAATCTATAATTCAGCATTACTATGATGATTGGAGGGTCAAATTCAGTCCTGTTTTGATAAAAGGTCTTGTGACTTGTCATCACAATCTTGTAAAAGACAGGGCTATAATAACTAGTGCTGATAATGGCAAACTTCCATTGTTCATAAATAAAACAATGTGTAAATTTGAATTTCATCAGTACATATATCAGGCCATCTACATAAGGAGGCCGTCTTCCTCATTCTTGAAATATTGAATTTACACAAATTTTACACCAAAGTTTAGATGTGATATGGCTGTATTTGGAGATTTTTCGATATTGATATTTGCTCATTTTTCTTCCTAATCTCTTTGCACAAATGAATTCATGATCACATTTTTCCTATTCTTATTTATTGCTGTTGCTTAGAATAAATAAAATGATGATGTCACATTTTCCAGTGTTTAGCACTAGAGACTTCATATTTCATTTACAAAAATTAATGTATTTCATTTTTATTAATGAAGTGCTTCATAAATGAAATAACTTTATTTTTGTTTATTTCTATGAAGAAATTAATATTGAAAGTTTTCAAATATCTATGATTTAATGAAAAAAAAAATATAAAATATAATGATATTTATATACAGGGACCAAAAAACATTTACTGCCCATGTAACACTAAAGAACGAAATCAACATTAGGATATAGTATATATATATACAGTATTCTTCTTTTATAAATTTGTTGTTTACAGAAATATCAAGGCTTAACGTAAACAAGTAATTAAAAACAAAAGTATACAATAAATAAACAATACAGAATTTAAATGATAATGAAATTTCAGATCATCCAATCCTAATTTGAAATCAAATGCACAAGACAGCATAAAAGATAAAATCTGACCATTTATTTCCTTTATCAATCATAAGGCTAGTAGCTTGACATTTCCATTGTAGTATTGTGTTGTCTTAATTCATGATGTCACTTCAATCATGCAGTAGAGGTCATCCTATTATCATATAAATTAAGAATTAATTACCAAATAATTTCAGATATGATTGCCATTTCATTTCACAAAAATATTTTAAATATTTTATATGTTCCATATAAACATGTAACATGGCAGTGGTGCTAAACATCGCCCCACCTGTATTATATAACAGACTAACATAGGTTATCATTTGTCAACTGACTGTATTAAAGTTAATGGATTTTTCCTCCTTTCTTTTCTAGGGTTAGATTTATTGTACACAGGCTTAATGTCTCATTATCTTTCACTTTTTCTTCCCTCATATAAACTTGTTCATTCTGGCCAAGTGATATGCATAAAACCATATTAAGTTTTAAAAGAATTGAATTTTTACCCCCTTGTTTTTTCAACTTGTATGGGACTGAAATGGATGACAGTTAAACTTCAGAGAAACTTCCCCTTTATACATAGTCAAATTCAATCATCTTCCAGTCCTAGTCCAACCCCCTACACCTACCAAACAATTTTGGGATTTGTAATTAAAATTTTTTTGTCATGTGATAAGATAATAACATCTTTAGACAACACAAGCCTATTTTATTGTCACAGTGACATAGCAGGCTTTTATCAGGTAGAAACACTGAATTTATCAACAAAACATCATTGTATGTATCTCACGCTAGATAGAAATTTTGTCTATATACTTCTTTTTAACCTTCTTGGCTTGTTTACTTCCCACACATTTATGTAATATACAGAAAGTTTGGTTGAGTCTTGCTACATCAGCTGGATATGAAAATACAGCATTTTTGTTTAGTGAAAAAGTTTTGTGATCAAACCAAAATATTTAGTAAACTATCTTCATTCTGATGTAGAAACCCACGTGAATTTATCTTGTTATTGTGATTATTGTTTAAAAGAAAATGATCAGTATTAATTGTAGGACATCAGATTGTCCTTATATTGACAATAAAAAATAAATATTCTCATTCCAGATCATCAAACCATTACAGAAATGTTCTGACAAAGCTGTCAAGGTTTACAATGCACTTTAATGACATCATCATAAGGAAGTTATTTGTCAAAATTGTGTGAATGTCTCTTGTGTCTTCATTTCTACTTATTTTTTTCAGATTGCTGATAAGTTCACATCATTCTCTTAAACATTAAAGACAAAATACGTCAAACAAAGCATTGTTGGTTTTATTGATTTTTTACAATATTATGTATATTCAGTATAACCAATACAAAATTTACCAGATATTGGAAGTTTCTGAATAGGGTTATCATATGATCAGTTGAGAGTTTAAGGAAAAAAGTTCATTGTACTTTAGTAGTGTAATTGGCCTGTTCACCAGTTGTGTAATAGGTCTGTTCATCAGTTGTGTAATAGGCCTGTTCATCAGTAGTGTAATAGGCTTGTTCATCAGTAGTGTAATAGGTCTGTTCATCAGTTGTGTAATAGATCTGTTCATCAGTAGTGTAATTGGCCTGTTCATCAGTAGTGTAATAGGCCTGTTCATCAGTTGTGTAATAGGCCTGTTCATCAGTAGTGTAATAGGCCTGTTCATCAGTTGTGTAATAGGCCTGTTCATCAGTAGTGTAATAGGCTTAATATGCTTCATCAGTTGTGTAATAGGTCTGTTCATCAGTAGTGTAATAGGCCTGTTCATCAGTAGTGTAATAGGCCTGTTCATCAGTTGTGTAATAGGCCTGTTCATCAGTAGTGTAATTGGCCTGTTCATCAGTAGTGTAATAGGCCTGTTCATCAGTTGTGTAATTGGCCTGTTCACCAGTAGTGTAATAGGTCTGTTCATCAGTTGTGTAATAGGCCTGTTCATCAGTTGTGTAATAGGCTTGTTCATCAATAGTGTAATAGGCTTGTCCATCAGTAGTGTAATAGGCTTAATAAGCTTCATCAGTTGTGTAATTGGCCTGTTCATCAGTAGTGTAATAGGTCTGTTCACCAGTTGTGTAATAGGCCTGTTCATCAGTAGTGTAATAGGCCTGTTCATCAGTAGTAATAGGCCTGTTCATCAGTAGTATAATAGGCCTGTTCACCAGTAGTGTAATAGGCCTGTTCACCAGTTTTGTAATTGGCCTGTTCACCAGTTGTGTAATTGGCCTGTTCATCAGTAGTGTAATAGGTCTGTTCATCAGTAGTGTAATAGGCCTGTTCACCAGTTGTGTAATTGGCCTGTTCATCAGTAGTGTAATAGGTCTGTTCATCAGTTGTGTAATAGGCCTGTTCATCAGTAGTGTAATAGGCCTGTTCACCAGTAGTGTAATAGGCCTGTTCATCAGTAGTGTAATAGGCCTGTTCATCAGTAGTGTAATAGGCCTGTTCACCAGTAGTGTAATAGGCCTGTTCATCAGTAGTGTAATAGGCCTGTTCATCAGTAGTGTAATAGGCCTGTTCATCAGTAGTGTAATAGGCCTGTTCATCAGTAGTGTAATAGGCCTGTTCATCTGTTCATCAGTAGTGTAATAGGCCTGTTCACCAGTAGTGTAATAGGCCTGTTCATCAGTAGTGTAATAGGCCTGTTCATCAAGGTACAAGGTTAGTTTATATAACAGGGTTATTGTGTACATGCTACATGGTAAGTTTATCTAACAGGTTTATCGTATCAGAGAAAATTGTATGTGTTTAGTGTGTACATATATTTCAGCATATCTTTATTTCGACAGTGAGAGTAATTATAAGTGTCCAAATAAGACATTTGAAATAGACACTTATCTTGATTTAAATCCAATCAATGCCATTTAATTAACTCTTACGAGTGTTTGAAACAGATCCTGCCATCATACATTATTCATTAGGGGTTTGAAGTTAATTATGACCTTGCCATCAAATTAATTAGAGTACTAAAGATACAAGCATTGGCGTTAGTGCTGATGATAGTAACAAACTGTTAATCTCCTGGTACCACAGGAGTCTCGGATCAATAGGTTTCAGTGTGATAGATAATCCATCATGATCTCTGTGTTACCTCATCATTCTGTAAGTAATTCAAGGATACGACATGATTGTGATACATCCAAGAAAGACCCATTTAATCAACTTCTCATCAATCTAAAACGGACATTTTGCAAGATTAAATACTTTCTCCGATAAATCAATACACATATAAGGTATATCAAAGCAGCTGGAGAAAACCAGACAGACTAAAAAAGCAATTGTGGTATTGCCATCCATCCAAACTGTGTTTCACAAAGAAGTGAAAATGATTAAAAACATTTCAACAAGTTGTGTACCTATGGAATGCTGACTGTACATTTTCCATGGAAAACAGTTGGAGTTAATTTCAGAAATTTTCCAGCATTTCCATGAGCACTCCATGGAAATCAAAGCAACAAGAAAAGTCATTATAAAACAGATATGAAGTGATCATTTGAGAGCTGAACTTCTCTTTGACTATTTAATTTCTCTTACCATGAAAGTTTGTTTTTATCTTCGCTGGTGCTGTCTAGAAATCAGTACCTGTGGACCAGTATATTGTACATCAATTTAAGTGCTTTATAAAAAGTCACTGCACCTATCTCCTGGACCCGAGATTCCTACTTTGATAACTACACACTATACCATTCAAAGAACCATTACTGGTGATAGTTCTATTGTTGTGTGTACCACAGCTTCAGAGTATGGCCCTTTATACTATCGTCATGGATTCTTGATTACAATCAGGCCTTGAAGAATAGATGGAATCACCTGATTTTTATTTTACAGAAAACAATGACAGCTATGCTGATAACCATCGGTATCATTACCAACAACAGGTATTCTGGAGTAAACAGAGAACAGCAATCAACTAACTACAGGTTGTGCCCATATATGTAATGAACGAGGGCAAGATCCGAGTTGAGTCTTGTATGCAATCCGACAGCCTGCCCATCAGAGGCCATAGTTGTGGATCGCAGAGCAAGTACTTAAAGCTGTCTGAAAGCGGAGATGTACTCCGTGTTTTGTAATTTGAGATGGATGGGAAGTGTTCGTGCAAAGTTTCCACATTTATATTCCGATAACAGTTGGTGTCCAATGGTTTTTGTTTCCATGTACTCTAACTCATCAATTAATCACACCTCCCTGTACATAAACAACATCATTAATCAATAACCATGTAATTCAGCTAAACAGTAGACACGGAAAATCTACTATTTCAAACACCAGTACTTCAATACTTTACTGCTGGTCTTTTGCTATAGATCATTTCTTAGTGGCCAGTACACTTAAACCCTATAAATCACTGTACCAAAAGTTTAAGTGATTCTGGCTAAAACATAGTGTGGTTTAGATACTTCTTCATAAATATAGTGCTAGCTAATGGAACAAGCAGTGTATTTATGGGAGGAGTTCAGAACAGCAAACTGTACACGAAAACAACAGAAACTCAGTAATAAAATAAAAAGTGTCAGCACCTCGGATATCAAAACCTAGAACATCAGCATCTCAGCCGTACAAACCTTAGCCATACTAACACCATCAACACCTCAGTAACACAGTATCCTTGGTGCATAGTTGGTATAAGGTCTCTGTATCCTTGTTAGGCGGTTGATACAGGATTTCAATATCTTTAGTGGGTTCAAGATTTCAGTATCCTTATTGGATAATGGAAACAAGATTTCAGTATCCTGGAAACAAGATTTCAGTATCCTTATTGGATAGTGGAAACAAGATTTCAGTATCCTTGGTGGATACTAGATTTCAGTATCCTTAGTGGATACTAGATTTCAGTATCCTTATTGGATAGTGGAAACAAGATTTCAGCATCCTTGGTGGATACTAGATTTCAGTATCCTTGGTGGATACTAGATTTCAGTATCCTTATTGGATAGTGGAAACAAGATTTCAGCATCCTTGGTGGATACTAGATTTCAGTATCCCTGGTGGATACTAGATTTCAGTATCCTTAGTGGATACTAGATTTCAGTGTCCTTATTGTATAATGGAAACAAGATTTCAGTATCCTTGGTGGATACTAGATTTCAGTATCCTTAGTGGATACTAGATTTCAGTATCCTTATTGGATAGTGGAAACAAGATTTCAGCATCCTTGGTGGATACTAGATTTCAGTATCCTTAGTGGATACTAGATTTCAGTATCCTTATTGGATAATGGAAACAAGATTTCAGTATCCTTATTGGATAGTGGAAACAAGATTTCAGTATCTTTAGTGGATAGTGAATATAAGATTTCAGTATCATTGGTGGATACTAGATTTCAGTATCCTTGGTGGATGGTTAATACAAAATTCAGAATTTTGTTGGATGGAGCAACCCAGGAAGCCAGTTCAATACACCAAAGCGGGCCAAAATACTAAACAGGGATGGGGTAGTCCATACACACTCACAAATCTATGAAAAGGTTTTTAAATCAAAGTGTAGCTGAATCAACTTTTATGGAATAGTGTACCATTACAAGTTTGACCTATTTTCACTTAAATCATGTTACTACTATACTACTTTCCACCTCTACTTGTACATATTTTGATACAGTCAAAATGTTCTATGATCTTGTACACTGTATATCTCTGTGCAGGGTACACTGCACATGGGTCATTCGCCGATGAAGGTGACTGCGTAGTAAAAATGTCACATTTTCCGAATGGTTGTGATATAAGAACATCTATTGAATATCAAGCTGACATTAAATCAATAGATGGCATTTAATAAATAACTGATATTCAATATATACAAAGTATATAGCTGACATATCTAATACATAGCCGATATTTTATACAATATTGTGTGGCTAAATATTCACATGTTCGTGTTAAATACAAACATGATATCTGATATTATCTGTACACCTAATAGCCTATAATCTAAGCCTCTATACATACATATCACCTTTGACCCCAAATTGATGATATTTCATTGATTATAGATAATATTTCATACATAGCAGATAATGTAAAATCATTCATTTTCGTGAGGGAATTATTTTCGTCGAATTTGTGGGTACTCTAAATCCACAAATTCATATTTCCATGAAATGATTTAACTGATAAAACACTGATATGGATAATAGTTCTAGTGGATTTTGTGAGAAAGATTTCTCCACGAAATCCAGTGCCAACGAAAATGTTTATTTTTGGAATACCAGGAAATTTTGTAGTCCCATGAAAATATATGATTTTACGGTATTCGATAGGTTTTATACACAGTACAATTACATATGAAGCCGATCTTT